TTTTTACGGTAACATAATAATGTAAAAAAAGGAAATAATAAGATGTAACAAATAAACCAAAAAAATTGTTGGTAAAAACTAGCAGAAGTTTTTTTTGTCGAAGAACTTAATACGGTTAAATAAACATGTGAAAAAATAGAAAATTTTAAAATTAATTCACATTCAACACTTAAGGTTAAAAAAAAATTACGAAATCGCCCTTTGAAGAAAAAAAAGGAAATTATCAGAAATAACAATTAAAATATCTTCTTTTCTCATCAGTTAAACAATATCCATATATAAACAGAATAAATGATAAGTGATAAACTATGTTTCGTAGAATAAACACATGAATGATAATAGGAACACAACTTTGTTTATAACAACATGTACGATATTATTGCATATGTCAAAGAAAAAAAAAGTTCTTATAACTAGAGCATGACCAAATTTCTAAACTGAAACAATTACATAATAGAAGATTACGTACATAAACATGTTTGTCTATAATGACTACTCTGCGTAAGAAGTCAGTAGCAGAAACATGGTTTAGGCAATAAGACCCACCGTTTTTTATCTAAATGGATTTTATACACTTAACACCTGCGTAAAAAGTCAGTAGCTAAAACATGGTTTTGGCAATAAAACCCGCCATTTTTCTTCTAAATGGATTTTACACACATAACACAAACAACACGACCCATGCATAACACTATTACAAGAGAAAAAATAGTCACCGTCAAGGACGACGACATAACGGCCTTAGACGGGCTACGTATGAAAGCATACATATATATATATAAAAGCTATTTAATAAGAAAGAAAGCAACATTTTTAAGAAAGCTATAGCTATGCTTTCTTGTAATCCTCCTTATTTGGACTCTAAGGGATAAAGGAGTAGGGGAAAAGAGGAATAAAGAGTTGAGAGTAAGAGGAGTCAGATAGTATCAAGCTAGAAATTTGGTCGATAGTGAGGAGTAGGTTCAAGACTCTAAACAGTTAAGCACAAGACGCCTTTTCTTATAATTAGATTATTAATAAACTACTTTATCAAAACTCCCTGTTTTTTTTCGTGGGCACCCCAAAGCCATAGAACTCTACTTCATACTGTAGTTAACAAGAAAAACCTTTATTATACTTCTTTCCAATTCGGCAAAAAGCTTTTAAGCAATCCTAGTATATTCTATGACTTCAAAGTATTTTGGAGCTAAATATGTGTTAGTGGGATTTTGTAGACTGTAATTGCAAAAACTCTTTTTTTTTTTTTTTTTAAATATAGGAAGCCTTTAACGATTTTAAATAAATTTTGTATACGTTCAAGACAATTCTGTATTTTTAGAACTTGAAAAGTTTGTTTATAGACACCTCCTTGCTAGATTCAAAAAGCTTGTGCACTGCTCTTTTCCACTGTGCTCAGCCCCTTAAATCTAAATTTAAGGAGATGTTCCATTGAAAGTTGTTTATGAGGTGACATTTAACTTATAAAGATAATGAGGTGAGGCCTATTAAAATCAATTAAGTAACATATATGTAATGAGAAATACAACCGTTAGTTGTATTACATCTGAACTTGTATAAGTGAACGGTGGTGATCGCAGATTCGTTTTACACACAAAAAAAACTTAGTTTTTGTTCGTTTGGAACCAGCAGTCATCACAAAGTCCATATTTGCTTTTACTAAAAGTATACTTTTCTTTTAAATCGTTGACTCGACGTTGTGGTGTTAAGTTTCACTAAGCGATATGTATGGACTGGTGTACACCGAGCTGGCGTTGACCTACTGTTTTAATGCATATCTTATGTCATACGGTAGTATTGTATCTTCTTCATCTTTTTATCTCGTTCTTGTAAAGGTGTTTGTCATATGTTGTCTATTTAATTTTTCTTCAATATTCAATTTATTAGTCAAGTAAAAATTGTGTTTCTATGAATTAGAGTTTATAATCTTGAAATATTTAATATAATCAAGTAAGTTGGATATTTTTAAGTTAAAAATGTAAATTAACGACGAAGATATGTTTTATCTGATGACTTACTTAATTCAGAAAAGACAGAAATAGCTGATTTTATAAATAGTATAAATTTGCTTTTACAACTTTCATACAATTTACAGTTTTCTTAACTTAGTTTACTTCTATGATCGTTGATTAGTCATTGCTTACTCGCGCACGTAGTCATAAGACCTCACAAGGTTGACTGCAACGATGATCCTAATCCTTCACGAGAGTATTCGAGGCGAGAACAATAATGAGGCTGCTGCCTTAAACATCGGAGTCAAAGTCGACGGTCCTTTCTTTCTTGTTCCTCCTTGATTCCTTTTTTAGGCAAGTCAACAGTGGTCTGGTTTTCTCGAGCTGTTCTCACACAGCTTAGTAACCAAACTAAGTTTTATGTTTGCTTCAAGTGCACGCTTCTAATACGTAGCTTAATCACTGAACTACTTAATTTTACATCAAATACAAGTTGCTGTCGAAATTGTGTATGATATTTCTTGTCTACATACGTTGTAAGGAATGTTAAAATTGTTGAATAATCATATTCTGTGCTCTACTTGTGCAAATTTATCTTGTAAGTTGAGCACTTGCTAAGATTATTATAGATTGTACGCGTAGTTTAAGTTTTGAGATAATAGCTTGTTTTAAAAGAAGTGAATTATTTGTCATACGATTGCAGAAGCAGGTGTACTGCTTGATGGTTCATGATCGCTGAGTTTTTGCTTTTTTATAATTTAAAAATAAAACTATGTTTTTTTAAGTAATTAATATTAGATCTATAATATGGTATATCACAGTTGCAAGCCACTCTTTTAAATTTTATAAAAAAGGCGTGCATCATCATTTCTTTGTCGTCTATGTCACTCCATACACTGGTTTTCTTTGAAGCCCACCTTACAAACTTCCAAGCAACTTACGTCTCTTGTCAATTACATTTTTTTATTGTGATTACGTATTAAATACCATAACAGACGAATCATTTCAAAAACTACGTAGGCGGGTCTTTAAAAATAAGGTGATAAGCTCAAAAGATGTATTTATGGGACTGTAAAAGCTGGATTTAATTTGTATAAGGTTAAAATAACGGGAAACATATACGACTTTTCCCTTGTTTATGGTGGTCTGTGTATAAGTTATGGTCATACTTTGGATACTGTGAAATAAATAACGATACAGTCTACCTGCAGAGCATTACAATATGTATGTTACATTTATTGCAGGCAGTTATGATATTTTGGGATGGTAACAAAAAAAGACATTCTTTTATTTTTGAGATATAACAAAGAGATATTCATTTCAAGCTCACATTTTATATTTTGGATGGCTACATAATAAGAGGTGACATATTTTTATTAGCTTTCCTTTAGCAATCAATGAACACCACCTGTACTTAATAATGTAAATAAAAAACCAGTCAAAGAAATTTTTTCTTCTTAATTAAAGCTAGGAATTATTATCTTTCACAAAAAAAAAAAAAAAATTTTTCAATTTCGATGATGATAAATTAAGACTTATTTCGCTTTATCTTCATTATTAACGGAGATACGGCCGTTTTTAGTTCTTATCATTTTAAAAAATCAAAAATTTAGATTAAGAGTGGTTTTACGGGCTTAGGTCCATTCGCTATGATGTTATAGACTGCCTGGACTTTTATTTTCTACAATTATATTATTTTTAGGTAGTTTTAACGGCCTTATTAAAAAAAAAATTTTTTAATTTTGATGATCTGAAATTAAGGATCATTTCGCTCTATCACCATTATTTACGGAGATACGGCCGTTTCAAATTTTAGCCATCTTCAAAAACTAAAATCTTAGATTTTGAGCGTTTTCACGGGTTAGTGTATATCTGCTATGATGTTCTAGACTGCCTGGACACTTGAAAACTTTAATTTAATATCTTTTTGTATAGTTGCAAGGGCCCGAATCCGAAAAAAAAAAAAAATTTTTAATTTTGATGATCCTCAAGTAAAGCTTATTGAGCTTTATCTTAATTATTTACGAAGATACGGCCGTTTTAAGTTTTGGCCATTTTTAAAAACCAAAATCCTAGTTTTGGAGTGTTTTTACGGGCTTATGTCTATTCGCTATGATGTTCTAGACTGCTTGGACTTTTATTTTCTATAATTTTANAACCCGGATATGGTCCCTTTTTTATGTAATCTCCAAGAGGTTCAGGGACCAACGATACCACGCTGCATCTCGAATCAACCATTGTCTGAACTGCAACAGCAGTACTTCTATTATCTAAACAAAAGTATTTTTAATTTACCGTAGTTCTAATTGACCTCTACAACTTTTTTAAAGTAAAATAATTTAAACGTTAAAATTTATAATTATAATTGTTTGCACAAGCTACGCTCATCTATCAACTATGTCCTAATCAAGTCGTGTCCAAGTTCTGATTACAAAAAATATGCCGACGTATCTTTTTTTTACGAGGCAAAGATTCTTAATTCCTTTAAAATGCATCATTTTAAGTAAGTTAGTATATAAAATTAACTTAAATTTAAAAAGTCTAGCTGATGATTACAAACCTAAGTAATTGTTAGGAATGAATTTGGATTATCTGTTTGTTATTAAATGTGATTTTCTATTGAGAAAGAATTTTTTCAATCACTTGAATTTAAATTCATAAGCATTTTCATTCTTATCAGCAAACAATAGTTTGGCAGCTGAATAAAAATTAAAGAGCTAATTGTTAAGGATCTGATACTTCTGTATTCCATTCAGCCTTTTGAAGGGCCTTAATTTTTTTTAAGCCCGTCTAAATAATCTTGCTTGTTATAATGTTGTATGGAATGTATTTACTTCAATGGAAATGCTTTAATAATTATAAATTTAAACCAAATTGACTAAAGGCATCTTTCCATATGATTCAAGAGAACTGTGCTTCGTTTATCTAGTTAACTTATTTAAGCACTAAAAATAACATATTTCTAGCAAACTTATTGTACTTAAAAGAATGTCAATCATTTGTTATCAAACGATATTATTTTTATAATTTTATTTACTACAATTTCACAAGTAATAGTTTAGTTAACCAAGCCAATTCACTATTAAATTCATAGAGGATAACAAATGTATACGTATGTATCATTTAATATTGTGTTGAGCTCTTGGGATTAATATGACTAAGATGCAAGCGACTGAAAAAAAAATGTGATGAAATAGAAAACTCAAAAATTTTAAAGGTTGCAGTTAATCAAATAATTACCAAGAAGCAAGACTGTCAGTATCATTAAAGCAACTGTGCATCCATTTTGTAGTAATATGGGAAATAAAAGGTTTCCAATTAGTGATCCAATGCGACCAAGCATCATAGTTAAACTTACTGCCATGGTTCTGTAAAATGTTTTTAAAAAATATAAACCAGTATTTTAACTAAGTTGGTTACAATAAAAAACGTTGTTACCTGATGTTTGTTGGAAAAAGATTGACGACAGCACTAAGAACTAAGTTTAGAGATGCGCTTAAGCATCCAACAAACAAACTTATGCACGTTAGTGTAACGTACACGTTATTCGACCAATTTAATGATACAGCCGCGCAAGAAGAAATAAAGTAACATATCACTACGTAAACAGAGAACCACAATATATAATTAAAGTAATTTTGTGTGTTGCATTTAAAATAAAGTTAAATCTTACATAAGAGGTACTTATTATTTATACTTCCAACAAAAATTCCCAAAAAGAAAGTAAATAACAATGATGATGCTGATATTATGATTGTATTTGAATATACGTTATTACTGACAGGATACTGAAAAAAGTAGGTCTTAGATGATCATACTTGTAAATATTCATAGAAATTATAATTTACCGTACTACAGGGGCTGAGCTTGCTGTTATTATTAATGCCTTCTGGTAAACTAGTTTCTCTGAGCGTAAAAGTGAAATTATCAATAACACTGCAAAAAGGAAGTTGTGGTGCAGAGCCATCTGGTTTTGTTGATTCTTGAGCAATAATAGCAAACAGTTGTGGTTGCCACAGTCGAATAGTGTTTGTACTATAAAAACATAAATTTTTTTTTCAATACGTAAAATTTTTATTATAAAAATATCGTCTTACTTCACTAATAATTTGATGCAGATATGTGACAATTATGTTAAATCATATAAATTGATTGTTTCCTAATATAAATCTAGTATAATTAATATGTTGCATTATTGAACGACAAAGTTCTTTCTTTTTAGGATGGAGACGTTTTTATCACTCATTATATTACGGACTTAATAATCCCCAGTTTATTTTACTAAAGATGAATTTATAATAACATTTTTAACAATTGTCTTTTAATGTTACGACCTGAGCTACAGTCACATATAAGTATGATATGACTAGTTATAATATTTTTATTTATACATTCGTCATGTAACAATAATATTTCTCAGATTTCTTTATAGTTAAAAAAAAGATTTAATTTCAAGATTTTCTTGCAAGACCAAAAGATGTTAACAAATGATCTTAATAAAAATGTTGAATGATCGTTGTAATAGTAGCAGTAATGAGAAATAAGTTACTAGCTCTATATAAGCTTTAAATCACTTAAGTTAATTGGTCACTGTAATTTAATATTACTTTTCAATTGAAATGTGAAAGATAAAACATAAAGTTACCAGATAGTTTTTTAATTAACCAATAATTTTAGCCTAACATCATTTTTTTAATCAGGTTGGGATCAGCAAAGGCCACTTTAATAGTACTACACTTCATTACATTTACTATCTCAATAGTTGCAATGAAAAGTTATTTTGTAACGTTTCAATAATTCATTCATCCGATTAACGTACGAACGTACTAATCTCTTGACGTTGTTTTTCTCTTTTATCATAACGATGTAACTGATACATAGTTAAAACAATCATTAATGTATATCATTCAGAAGAAATAATTAGAATATAAAAAACACTAATTTATGCTTACGACATGTGAAAATTGTGAGCTTGAACTTCAACCAAAATCTTTTATTATATCACCGCATTGATTTTTATGATATTGGGTGTAGTAAATAGATCCCTCTTTCATGAATTCTGAGATATTGTGTTTTTTAATATAATTGTGTGAGAGTACTTACTTTACTCTTCGCAAAAATTATCTGATTCAACAACTAATTTATACACAAGAAGTCCTAATGAACAAAACTATAACAAATCAGCCTACGTATTACATCAACACCCTACGAAGGACGAATTTAACATATTGCTACCCAGCCATTATTTGTAAGCCAAATATTTGAAAAAAATTAAGATAAAAAGCACAACAAGTCGACCGACTTAAAGACAGAGTTTACTTGAAGTAAAAGTAAACAATGCCTATAAGAGTCTTATTAGAATTTCAAAAAACACAGAAACAAATTAATTATTAAAAAAAGAAGCTTACACTTTAATCATTATGAATACGCTGAAGCTTTATTTGATAATCTAGTAGACTAATTTTCTGCAATCCACCTTTATTAAAATCTTAATTTTTAGTTACTGCTTGTAATGTCTAAAAGTTTTGAAGGAATTGAGATTTTAAAGGTGATTTTAGAGGCAATAACTTACTTTCAAAAAAAATAGCTACTGTACATTATAACATTATACATGAACATCGGTTTTTATCAAATTTATTAAAAAACTTGTTGATTGTTTTACTTTTTGCTTAAAACATTGATGCAAATGTATTTGTTTTCTATCATTAAACTGAATATTTTTAATATGGAACTTTTGGCAGCCGAAAAAAATTCTTGACGGCACCTCACAAAAGTTGCTACTGTCAAACGTAGACACAGGAATCCAAAATTCCATGTTGCTCTTGAGCAAAGATGTATATTGACTGCTTTAAAAAGACAATTTTAACATTTTTTCTGCAATAACATTGACACTCTAAATATTAAGCCATTGCAGAGCGAAACAGCTGGTGGTCGTCAAAAATGACTAGATACTCTTCAGAAACACAGAGAACAACTTTGGGCTCTGCAGCAACCCATGGATCAATGGGATAAATGGATGATTGCATTTGCAGCTATGGGCATGGACTCTCTATCTAGAAAAGCATAGAAAGATGAACTTGAAAGACTAGAAGCCACACAGTCCATCCCTGGAGCTGATGTGATCAGCTTCGATGTACTGTAGAACTTTCTGCAGCAAGGCTGTCGCTTTCCCTTATCAATGGCCACCTCCTCTTGTCCTGCCAGCCACGCAACGCATGATTCAGCTCCAGCCCTAACACCAACCTCAGCAGGTTATCGTTACTGATCACTTGCGACCCATGTGAACAGCCTAACTTGTCCCATCTGCCAACTACAACACTACGTTAGGCACTGTTATCGCTTTTAAAAAATGACCACGGTAGCTTGGAGTGAGCTCGTCACGCGGGCCAGGTTATGTTTTTATTGCGTCAAACCAGGTCATCCCAGACGGTTTTGTCCTTCGAGTAACGCCTGCTCATTATGCCAGGTTCATCACCATAGTATGCTACACAAGAATAAAAAACGTAAATCAGAACCCACTGCTCATTTTACTCTAGCTAAACAGGCCCATTGGGACTCAGCTACTAAGAAAGACGACAAGACCAAACCCGCGCAGTCATAACTCGCTATTTGCCCCATGGCATTAGTGCGCCTTGAAGGCCCCCGTGAACGGACAATTACAGCACGAGCTTTGATCGATGCCTATTAGGACGTTACTTTCACTTTCATCAAACTAACGCACAGGCTTGGTTCTCCTTCAGTACCAGTGATGTGGAGCATTACTGCAGTAGGCAGCACCTGCGCAGTACAGTCTACCACCCAGACAACGTGACTTTTTTGCTTCCTAGAGTGGGCCTTTTCTACACCCTTTATGGTACTCTATGTGCCCTATCTTGGATTACGCACTTCCTCTGTCACGGTAGAGCCAATCCTCGTCCAACGTTGCCTCGATCTCAATCATACCGCAGACACGTCGTTTGATACTCCAGGTCAGGTTGACATCTTGCTTGGTGCTGATATATATCTCTACCTGTTTCAAGCCGGACTTATCAAACTGGAAGAGCTTGTAGCCGAGTCTACAACCCTTGATTGGATATTCACGGGACAAGCCTCCCATGGCGCACCAATCTCGTCGTCGCTGAGTCTAGTGACTCAAAAGAAGCCAGTCTCGTCCTGGCATTATCAATTGACATCTCTGCTTCAACAATTCTGGGAACTCTAGGACATTCCCCAGACTCTCCATAGATCTCCTGAGACTGAAGAGTGCAAGAAAGTCTTCGCCAAATACCAGCGTACCACGGACGGTCGGTATGCCCTTCGGATACCTCTTACGCGCGATGGCCTAGCAATGCTAGAAAACAGTTTGTCAGGTGCAACAGCCTCGTTTCGCTATTTACACTGATGTTTGGAATATGATCCCAACATAACAGTTAAATAAAAGCGTTTTATGGATGAATATCTCACCTGTGGACATATGCACCTATTGACTGATCAGGAGGTCCAAAACGCCTCACACCCGATCAACTACATCCCTTACTATGGCATGTGGCAGACTCGAGACCAACAAAAAAAAGCTTCGTGTTGTTTTTAATGCGTCCCACCCAACTTTCTCCAGCCACAGCCACAATCATGCACTTTGCGCTGGTCCTAAATTACAGGCAGCACTACCTGACGTTATCCTGCGATGGTGTATACATCGATTTGCTTTCTGCACGGACATCCGTATGATGTTTCGTCAAGTCTGAATTGATCAAAAAGATACAAACCTTCAGCGGATTGCATGGAGTCCTGACAGATCTTGCCCACCCAAACACTACCACCTGTTGACTACGGAACGTCATGTTCGCCGTATCTGTCGTTACGCACCATTTAACAACTGTGTTAAGATGAAGGTCTATCTTAGCTCAAAGCTATTCCAATTATCATGAAGGATCGTTATGCTGATGACATTCTTTTTGGCGTGGATGATCTTGCAGCTGTTCAACTTCGACGCGGTCATCTCATAGGCCTATTGCAGTCCATCGGACTTCCTTCACGTGAATGTGTCGTAAACACCTCTGATTCTAAATGATCTTTCCAAGGACTGGCTTCTGTGATGCACTTGGCAGCAGCTCAGTACCAATGGTCTTATCAGCAAACTCGGACTTAGCTGGGATACAGTCACCGTACACTTTTATCTGACGCCACCTTTTCTTCCTGATCAGCCAGTTTTTAAACGAATCGTTCTCGCAGAACTAGCACGTCTATTCAATCCATGTGGCTAGGTTGCTACCACTATTTTGATCGCAAAGCTGCTAATCCAGGATCTTTGGTGAGCTTGTTTGGACTGGGACGCCCTAATACCAGCCTTGATAACCCGGATATGGTCCCTTTTTTATGTAATCTCCAAGAGGTTCAGGGACCAACGATACCACGCTGCATCTCGAATCAACCATTGTCTGAACTGCAACAGCATGCGTTCACTGATGCCAGTTGATGTGCCATGGCAGCCATTGTTTATTCAAGAGTATGGAACGCTTCTAAAAAAGTTTGCGTCCGTCTCTTCGCGAGAACGAATTTGGCTTTGATCAGAAGTCTTCAGCCAGTTTTAACTCCAGCAGCTCGTATGATGATTCCGCGTTTAGAGCTGAGAGCAGCTCTACTCACTACTCGACTACTCCGTTCGACCGTCCAAGAATTTTCCGTACCGATCAAGAATTGCTATGCATGGAGCAACTCCCAAATTGTGCTGCATTAGATTCGATCAGCTGATCCCATTAACAACGCCTTAGTCGACAATTATATCGCTCATATCCAGAACCCCTTTCACCTCACATTTGGAGATACACTTCTACTGAGTCTTATTTAGCAGATGTGGCTTCACGAGGGGTTGACTTTCCAACGTTAAGACTCCAGCCCGCATGGTGAGCAGGACCTCATTGGTTAAGCCGCCTGCCAGAGAACTGGCCTCAGGACGCTACCGACTCTTCGGCTTCCAGCGAGCCACCCTCTCCACTGGCTATTCAGATTTGCTGCACTACGCAGCGTATGTTTCACTCAATCTTACAAAAATTCTCGAACTTGGATCGACTCCTCTGCTTTCTCGCTTGCTTACGTCATTGAGTACGACGACGTTTTGGTCAAGATCGTGATACTCAGATCTTTCTCTCATTAAAAGCGTCAGATTTCAAAGAATCGTATACCACCTGCCTCCATCTCAGCCAGAGCCAGTCGTCTTGGACCGAGATTGAGTTACTGCCATCGGGGCATTTGCTTCTGGCCAAGCATCAGCTGATGCCATTGACTCTATTTGTCTCGAACGACGGGATTTTTTGGGTAGGACGTTGTCTGCAGTGGTCAACGCCGAACTACAACGAGCAACATCCACTAATTTTAATCGGCAAGTGCTCCCTCACCCGCCTCATTGTAACATGGGCTAAGCAACACTCGCTGCATGGAGGAGCCCAAGTCACTAGTGCCTACGTAGCCGAAAGAGCTTGGATTATTGGTGATTCCCACCTCAACAAGGGCCATTTTCATCATTGCACATCCTGCGTAAGATAGAATGCACGAGGAGACACTCTGCTTATGGCTCCGTTACCTGCTGCCAGGATTAAACCAGCCCAAGCCTTTTCTCGCGTGGACGTCGACTACGACAGCCCCTTTAATGTGTTAACAGCCAAAGAACGTGATATCTGAACCAAGAAGGGATACATCGCTGTATTTGTGTGCATAAGTACAAAAGCTCTCCATCTGGAGCTCATAGGATGCCTCACACCTAACTCATTTCTGGGAGCCCTGATCCAATTCTGCAGCTGGCGTAGGCAACCTTCCGAGATATGGAGTGATAATAGCACATATTTCCAAGGCACTGACAAAGAACTACGTAAGGCCCCACAGATTGCTGGGATGCACTGAAATCTCGTCTTGGACAGTCTGGCTGAATAAAGAATAACATGAAATTTCATTCCCCTGGGAGCTCCCCACTTTGTAAAGATTTATGAAGCAGGCGTAAAGTCAGTCAAAGGCCACCTTTGACGAACTGTTGGCTCTAAGAACTTGACATATCAAGATTTCTCTACCTTTCTGGCCAGAATTAAGCTCGTACTTAACATTGGACCCCTCACTCCACTGACTAGCGGCCTCGACGACCTTGAAGCTCTCACCCCAGATCATTTTATTATCAGGGGTCCTCTCAATTTAATCGTTGATGCAGGGCTTTTATTAGAATGTCTAAATCGTCTCACCCATTGGCAGCTTGTTCGCGGGATCAGAGACCAAAATGAAGAATGGCCACTGGGAAGCATGACGACTGTTCACACGAGCTCCAACAGATTACTTCATGCAGCGACAGTCAAGACTAGCTTAGGAGAATACATGCGGTCTGTGGAAGTGCTAACCTTGATCCCTGTCACTCCAGACGCTCCACCGACTCCCACGTCCCTAACTTCTAATGGCGAACTCAAGCAGACTTTGGTGGGTGACTTTTAGGAACGAGGCAGGCAGGTTGTTGGTTTGTTTTAACTCAACGCTTGCTTCGTCCTGGGCCTCAAAGAGTCACTGAGAGAGTCACTGCTTAGCAGATCCAAAAAAGTGTGTGCGTGCTTTTCTACGCAGATTTGTGGCGTGACTATTGAAATACTTGTGTATTTTCATCTTATACATTGAACCAAATACAAATAAAGGGATTTCTTACAACAGACTCTTATAGTATTAAATACATGGAATTTTCACTTTGAAGGTTCTTATGGATTTTAATGTTAGTAAAAAACTGTAACTCTTAAAGTACTTGTCGAAAAATCGATAAATAAATGAATTATTTTATACACTACTGTACGTCGTGTACGTACGTTATTTATATGTATTTAGCTCACCTCACTCTCTTTCTAATACTAAAATTATTGAGAGAACATTTTTTTGTACGAAACTTTTTTTCCTGATAAGTTCGATTTTGGCCTTTTTTCTACGAATCATTTTGGTGAGATAACAAACTCTGAGTTTGTCAAGGTTTACTGGGTAATAAAATACTTCATGTTCTTATTATTTTATTTTTCCTTGTCAGAATCACATTTATTAAAATGTATTGGATTTCATGAGAAAGTATCTGCACTAGTTCAAAGTTAAACAGGTTTTAATTTTAAATATAACTATAATCTTAAGATCTTACTTTTTATCTAGAAGATCTACTTGTTAGATTTGTAGTTAATTTTATTTAGGTTTATTGCTCATAATTATTATAAATGAAATTTTTTTTTAACAGTAACGATGACTTGGATGAAGAAATGCTTTATCTACTACTAAACATTTAATCTCAATAGTAAAATCATATTGCTACCGTTACGCAGAAAAACAGTTACTTGAGGTGCACACAAGATGATGAAGTTTATGTATTCAACAATTCTTTATTGCTTATATTAGTAAAAAACAAGTGTACAAAACATTGATTAGTCTTAACTCCTTTGAGTAACTGCCCTTAACTCTTAGTTTCTATCTTTTTTTATTCTCCATTCTTTCATCCCTTAGGGCTGAAACTAGAAGAGGCACCCACACGCATGGCTGTATACTATCATACGTAGCACGTCCGAAGCTGTGACGTCGTCGTTCTTAACGGCAACCATTTCTTTGCTTCTTATTGTGTTATGTATGCATTATATTGTATGTATTGTGTAAATAAAATCCAATTGAAAGAAAAAAGGCTAGTTTAATTACCTCATCTCTGTTTCTCCTACTAACAACGTCTTATACTGTGTAGTCAGTAGATATATACATGTTTTTTTATAGTCGCGTTATGAGCCAGAGTAAATGAACGTTTTAAGAACTCTGACCTCAAAAAGTATGCGACGGAAGTGGATTTTTCGTGTTACCTCGCCCCACTACCACTGCTATGATTCCCTTTACCTATCCTCTTTATACTATGCTACACGATGTCACACTACTATAGCACAGTGTTACTTATCAAGTGAATACTGATGGATCATATTGTAAGTAAAAACGCAATTTATCCGTAGAATTCAAACAAGACGTATTTTTTAAATAGACAAGCTCATATAACAAGTCTAGATCAAATGTCACTTATATGCGTGAGTGTGTGTATTAACTTTAAGGTTAATATTCCGTTAAATGCTAACATATATTAAG